CTATAAATATGCTGTTTGTGAATTGAAGTTACCATCCATCAGTTTGTTTAGTGTCTATAAATCCGTTGTTTGTGAACTGAAGTTACTATCCATCAGTTTGTTTAGTGTCTATAAATCCGTTGTTTGTGAACTAAGTTACCGTCCATCAGTTTGTTTAGTGTCTATAAATATGCTGTTTGTGAATTGAAGTTACCATCCATCAGTTTGTTTAGTGTCTATAAATCCGTTGTTTGTGAACTGAAGTTACCATCCATCAGTTTGTTTAGTGTCTATAAATCCGTTGTTTGTGAACTGAAGTTACCATCCGTCAGTTTGTTTAGTGTCTATAAATTTGCTGTTTGTGAACTGAAGTTACAATCCATCAGTTTGTTTTCTGTCTATAAATCTGCTGTTTGTGAATTGATTGTGAAATTTATGGCTTGATTGAATTCGTTCAGTGTAAAGCAGCAGTAACTGTTTTATAATAATGTTGCTTCATCGAGTCACATGACTAGTGTGACGCCACGTTTCTAGAACTATCCTGTACTTTGGCGAATGCTCTAGTATTTACTAGATATAGGGTAGTCGGGTATATATTAAGAGGGGGACAACGTGACGCGGTAATGTGTGTGTAGATAGTGAGTAATTGAACTGCAGTCAGAAGTATTGTAGGCGTTCGTTGTTACAGCGTTTGTTTAGCGCGATTGTTGAAGTTGAGTGTATCGGTAAAGTTATATTCGGAAAGAATAAACCAGTTTTATTAAGTAAAGACTTGTGTCGTTAAAGTTTCGTCGGAACGAATTTACGGAGAGTTAATTAACAAACGGAGACGTAACAATACATTACATCTTTAGAATTATTATTAAGGTGAAAATAGTCACGTTATACTGTCAGCCAATCGATGACACATAAAAATGACTCATCACAGATATATATCACCTTCTAGAAGTTACTAAATAACAAACAAATGTGTCAATAGTCATAATATGCCGTCAGTCACTCGATGACGCATAAAAAGCACTGTTCACAGGAACGTGCGTATCACCTTCTAAAAGTCAGTACATAATAGATGAGGGTGGAAATAGGTATGCTATGCTGGCATCTATTCCATCAAACATCAAACATAGTAAATACAGATAGTTTAATTCATATTAATGCATTGACAACTATCTGTCTACTATTGGTATTTGTGTTATTACCTGTCGCCATCCATAATTTTGAACTTCTGACTAGAGGAATAAAGTAAGTCAGCAGAACTTTACCACACACGCTAAGTTGAAATATTTTATGTCATCAAGCAGATTCAAACCCGAGTCGCCAGCTCCGAAACTTAGAGCGCTATAACAAGGCCAACCTGCGTCCTAGGGTATTGGTTTTCACTCTTCAGACCCTTATGTTAATTTTATACAGAACAAATTCGATGACGAGGAACCCACTTTGAGACGGCTTGAATGGGTAATGAAGAAAAACTTTAATATAAGTTTAACATAACAGCAAATGCACAACGCTTCGACTGTGTAAATTACTAGAATCTGATGATGACAAAACCTTGTCGAAACGTTGTTTGTTTTTGTTTTTGAATTTTGCGCAAAGCTACACGAGGGCTATCTGCGCTAGCCGTCCCTAATTTAGCAGTGTAAGACTAGAGGGAAGGCAGCTAGTCATCACCACTCAACGAATATTGGGATTGACCGTCACCTTATAACGCCCCCACGGCTGAAAGGGCGAGCATGTTTGGTGTGTCGGGGATTCGAACCCGCGACCTGCAGATTGCGAGTCGAGCGCCCTAACCACCTGGCCATGCCGGGCCCTCGAAACGTTGTACATTTGCTGTTGTGTTAAACTTATATTAAAGTTTTTCTTCATTACCCATTCAAGCCGTCTTCAACCATTATACAGAACAACTTTCAATCAATAAATTTTTAATTACAGAAGTCAAACCTTGCGTCAGTTTTAGTCCGTACTGTTCACCTATAGACTGCTTTTAGCATTGTTTATATATATATATATATATCCATTAATAAAGATCGCTTGAGTGTTGGGAGGTAAATTGAGAATAATTATGATTTTCAACGCCATTTCATATATAGTAAAATATAAAAACTTCTTACCCAGTAGATGAAACAGGTCATGCACATGTAACTTTCAGCAGTAAACACATATTCTAAGAATTAAAGTAGTGGAATTCTTTAGTTCCAGGAATCCACAGAGTGCAGAATTTTCGGAACCTGTGTCAGCAGTTGCACGTGATTTTTTCGTATTCTCGTGGTGCCTAGTGATATGTAGTAGTACGGGAAGATACGCATGAGTCACTTGTTCTATAAACACCTGTTTTTATCTCGTAATCTGAAAATCATTGTGTAACTTGGACAGTATGATAGATCAACGTACTTAATGCTTTGAAAATGCCACCAACATCACGAACTCATTTGAGCGTGATATATATACATATACATACCCACAAAGAAACACATATATGCATAAATACAAATACATAAATACGTTTTCATTTCGAATCTGAACAAATAACGAACACTTGTAGGATTAAGACCTTGAAGTTTAAGTAAACAGCCATCAGCATCCATGAAAAATATTATATTTATTCAACTCTTCGTTTTACAGCTTCTTCTGGAGTATTCTTTACTAATTCTCAAGTTTAACTGGCAGTGATAGGCTTAGATTGTTTGACAACATAATATTCTTAAGATAAATAATAATTCCACACGGCCACATTTACAAGTGAAATGTATTGCTGGTGCGTTATTAGAACGTTGTTATTAAATAATATATATGCAGTCAATGATACACAAAAAATCTAACACTAAGGAAAAAAAAAAAGGTTCGAACCATATACAGAGATTAAGCACGTTCGGTTATAACGGTTTTACGGTCTTATCATGTCGTTACAATTCATGCTTTACCTGACGATAGTGCATGATGATAATAGTCCTGCAGAGTAGCTGTCATTTCTAAACCACACCACTCCTTCCTACATCACTTCAATAGTCATTTTAGTGTACGAGAACGACGACTTCCCAACGCTCGTTTCAACAGTCTAATAGCACAGAAAACCACAGGCTTAACTATTATATCTTCATATGGAATGGGATGAATACCCATTGAATTCTCCTGCTGTTTAAGGTATGTGACAGTCGAGTGGATATGTCGTGGAAGCAACTTGTGTACACATGGACAAATACCTTTTGCCACTGACCTTTGTAGTATTCGGTTCTCACCTGTTATTAGATGCCGCATGTTGTCGTGGAAGCAACTTGTGTACACATGGACAAATACCTTTTGCCACTGACCTTTGTAGTATTCGGTTCTCACCTGTTATTAGATGCTGCATGTTGTCGTGGAAGCAACTTGTGTACACATGGACAAATACCTTTTGCCACTGACCTTTGTACTATTCGGTTCTCACCTGTTATTAGATGCCGCACTTTGTTTAGCATGAATGGAATACTACTCGTTGCAACAACGTGTTTGGATAGTCCTGGTTCCCCAGAATACTTTGATTTTCAATGCCATTAAGTACTAGGCACATCCCAGTGTTAGAAATTGTATATCCTCAATATAAACATCTTTTATGGTCTAACTAAATGAATATCTCGCGTCTGAAAGAACTGTTACATAACCTTCCTAAAGGCGATCAATTTTCAGTGGCACCACACTACCCACAAAACAATAATGTCACAATGTAGTTCTTATAAATATCGTCCCAGCGTGACTTTATAATATATTTGGTTGTTTTCATATAACGTACTCAAACATCTCTATTATCAGATTAAAAAAAAATATTTCTTTTTTGCACAAAAGTCACATGTATATTCAATGAATACTCAGTGACACAATTATATTAACATAAAACTATGACACATGTACACTTTCCTCTGTTGAGTTCGGGTCGACGTTGTTTGATAAGGAGAGCTTCTTTAAATTTTGATATTGATGTGTTTTCGTGGCTTTAGGAAGTTTGAACAATTGAAGGAAATGGTGCACTTTTCAGAAGTTGTTTTAAATAGGGCATCCAATTGTTCTTCTATCGTGGTTGAACGTCTTTATTTTACACTGAATTTTCGTGGAAGTTGCTCACGTTAAATCAGTCAATAGGTATTGGTGTTTTTGACCATACTAAACATATGTTATTTCATTATATTGCAAATACTTATGTGTTTGTAGAAGTTTAAACGTAATATTTGCAATATCAGTTTGTTTGTTTGTTATGGATTTCGCGCAAAGCTACACGAGAGATATCTGCGCTAGCCGTCCCTATTTTGGCA